GCTTGATCAGGCACCAGGTGAGGCTCATTTTCTTCAAGAAAATTCACCAGAACTTCAACTGAGTAGTCTGTCTCTCTGAGAAACTCCGTGTTTGCAACTACTGGTTCTTCTCGGTTTGGGGAAGGCAATCCAAAATCAGTCAGGCCACGGTAGGACGCCACCCTCCGGGAGGCTCCACATTGTCTCACTGTTCAGTCCCCAAAATTTCTTCTTCCATCAATAGTTCATTAACGGTGTATGTAGTTCTGCCATGTTTTTCACTACCATGGTACAGCAAAGTATATTTTTTTAGCATTAAACTGTTATTATTTTATTGTCTTATCATCACTACATATAACACTATCCATCATCACTATATATAACAGCATCCATCAACACTACATAAAACATCACCCATCATCACTACATATAACAACATCCATCATCACTACACATAACATCATCCATCATCACTACATATAACACCACCCACCATCACTACATATAACAACCTCCATCATCACTACATATAACACCATCCATCATCACTACATATAACATCATTCATCATCACTACATATAACACCATCCATCACTACATATAACATCATCCATCATCATCATCCATCATCACTACATATAACACCATCCATCATCACTACATAACACCATCCATCATCACTACATATAACACCATCCATCATCACTACATATAACACCATCCATCATCACTACATATAACACCATCCATCATCACTACATATAACACCATCCATCATTACTACAGATTGGTAAAGTAGTTTCCGAGATTCTCGTGCGGACACACAAACACACAGACAAGCACACAGACATACTTCTTTGTTTTATATATATAGATAATAATAATAATAATAATAATAATAATAATAATAATATAATATAATATAATAATAATAATAATATAATATAATATAATATAATATAATAATAATAATAATATAATATAATATAATAATAATAATAATAATAATAATAACATATTTACTATACTAATATAATAATAATTAACGCAATATGGATTCACTGCTGTAATTGATGATTCATATATTAAACTATACTGCAGGTTTCGATAGTCTCTCTCTCTCTCTCTCTCTCTCTCTCTCTCTCTACGTACTTATGACTCTAAAACACAACTACTACCACTATTACCATAGCTACCATTACTACCACCACCACTAACACAACTACTACCATCAACACAGCAATCACCATTATCACAATTCACCGCAACTGGCACTAGCACCACCACCACTATCCCTATAACTACTGCCATCACCACCACCACCACCCCCATGACTAACACGACAACTACCATCACCACCACTACCACCACCCCAATAACTAACACAACTACTACCACCACTCTCACCACGATCCTATAACTAAACGCAACAACTACGATCACCACCTCCACCCCATAACTAACACAACTACCACCATCACAACCACTACTACCACCATCAATACCACCACCACCACTGGTCCTTAAGTCTCATATTCACGTATTATTAGAGTCAAAGAAACTGGTCCACTTACCAGCACCAATTTACCTCTCTCTCTCTCTCTCTCTCTCTCTCTCTCTCTCTCTCTCTCTCTCTCTCTCTCTCTCTGTATGTATGTATGTATGTATGTATGTATGTGTTTTCTTTCTCTCCATGTACTGTATGTCTGTCCGTCTCCCTCTGTGTGTCTGCCTGTCAGTCTATGTGTGCATGTGTGTGTCAGTCTTTGTGTGTACGTGTGTCTGTCTAGATTTTTTTTTAGATTGCCCCGGAGGAGGCTAGTTTATTGGGCACCCCCTAACATCCTGTGCAAGGCTGTCTAGGTAAGCCAGTGTTCATGGGAGGTGACCTCACCACCTCAACTTTGACCTCTACCTCGTCCACGCCTCTGACCTCTCTCTCTCTCTCTCCTCAAATACCTCATCCAGTCATTAGAATGAGAGAGAGAGAGAGAGAGAGAGAGATCTGATAGAACCGAACTAGAAGGAATGGCAGTCACAATAATAAAGGAGGAGGAATAAAGACAAAAAAGAAGAAACATGAAAGAGGAAGAGAGAAGAGGGAGAAAATGGAAGAAAAATAAGAAGAAAATATACGAAAAATAACTCAAAAGAAGAAGAACAAGGCAACAAAACAAAAATAACAAAAAACACTAAAAGAAGAACAACAAAAATAACATAAACACTAGAAGAAGAAGAAGAAGAAGAAGAAGAAGAAGAAGAAGAAGAAGAAGAAGAAGAAGAAGAAGAAGAAGAAGAGAAGAAGAAGAAGAAGAAGAAGAAGAAGAAGAAGAAGAAGAAGAAGAAGAAGAAGAAGAAGAGAAGAAGAAGAAACTAGAGAGGGGGGAGGAGGAAGGTCAGGACAGCTACCCAGTAATTGGTGTTAAAAGGGTATAAAGAGGAGGTAGTGAGGGGCCCTTACTTGAATGAAGAGGAAGAGGAGGAGGGGTAGGAAGAAGGTGGAGAGGGAGGAGGAGGGGTAGGAAGAAGGTGGAGGGAGGAGGGTAGGAAGAAGGTGAGAGGAGGAGGGTAGGAAGGGTGGAGAGGGAGGAGGAAGGGGAAGAAGGTGGAGAGGAGGAGGGAGTAGGAAGAAGGTGGAGGAGGAGGAGGAGAAGAGGAGGAGGGAGAGGAGGAGGAGAGGAGGAGGGGAGGAGAAGAAGGAGGAGGAAGAGGAGGAGGGGGTAGGAAGAAGGTGGAAGGGAGGAGGAAGGTGGAGAGGAGGAGAGGGAGGGGAGAGGAGGGAGGAGAAGAGGGAGGAGGGGAGGGAGGAAGAGTAGGAGAAGAAGAAGGTGGAGAGGAGGAGGAAGAGGGGTAGGAAGAAGGTGGAGAGGAGGAGGGGAAGAAGGTGGAGGAGGAGGGGTAGGAAGAAGGTGGAGAGGAGGAGGGGGTAGGAAGAAGGTGGAGAGGAGGAAGGGTAGGAAGAAGGTGGAGAGGAGGAGGAAGAGAGGAGGGGTAGGAAGGTGGAGGAGGAGGGGTAGGAAGAAGGTGGAAGGAGGAGGGGTAGGGAAGAAGGTAGGAGGAGGGTAGGGAAGAAGGTGGAAGGAGGAAGAGGTAGGGAAGAAGGTGGAGGAGGGAGGAGGGGTAGGAAGAAGGTGGAGAGGAAGAGGGAGAGGAGGGGTAGGAAGAAAGTGGAGGAGGAGGAGGAAGAGGAGGAGGAGAAATAATGGAAAAGAGAAGAGAAAGAGGGAGGAGAAGGGAAAGAGAAAGGAGGAGAGGAGAAGGAATAGGAGGGGGGAGAGGAGGAAGCGGAAGATGAAGGGAAAGAGAGGAGGGGGAGAAGAAAAGGAGGGACGAGAGTCAGAGAGATGAGAGGGAAGGAGGAGTTGAACAAGGGGTAAAGAGGAGGACGCGAGGATAAGGAGGAGGGGGATAGGAAGCCCTCGGTTGAATGGATGGAGAGGGATAGAGAGGGGGGATAAAGATAGGGGAGAAGGAGAGGGAAGTTATGAAAGTGAAGGGCTCAACAAGTCAGCTGAGTGGACCCTCTACCACTGCTCTTATGAATAGCTTAAACACTCCTCTATACACTGCTCTCACCCTCTAGTCTAGCTGATGCACACTCACACTCTCTTTCACCCCTCACGCACTCTCTCACTCACTTTCACATACACACTCACTCGCTCACACACTCTCTCACGCACTCACGCACACACTCACTCGCTCACACATACACACACACTCACTCTCCCTCCCTCACACACTTTCTCACTCACTCTCACACACACACTCACTCGCTCACATATACACACACACTCACTCTCCCTCCCTCATTCACTCTCACTCACACATACACTCACTATCTCTTTCACTCACACATAAACTCGCTCCCTCTCACATACTCACTCATTCACTTTCACACTCAACATTCTCTCCTTTACCCACTGACGCATACACACTCACCCACATGATTCAGACCTATATATACTGTTAATGAATATGATGTATTTCTTTGTGTATGAACCTCTGTCCTGCGTGGCAGTGAGAAGTGATACCACCTTCAGTGTCAAGACCTGACTGAATTACTCAGAATAGACAAACTGTACTCTAAGCTTTGTCAATAAATTTGTTAACTAAACTAAAACCCTCACACTACCACTAAGGTAAACTGGGTCCCCTGTTGTCATATATACAGCAGACAACAGATATTCCCTGGCGTAAGGATGGTGTCTGATTGGCTGATTCGCTAACCAATGAGAGATGGGTCGCAGCCAAAACAAACATAGGGCACGAGATGTAAAATGTACAACTTGTGATGGAAACTAAATGCGTTTTGTTATCATAAATTGTAATGTTTCTGTTAACGTGTGTCATTTGTTTTGGCTGCGACTTGTCTTTAACTGGTTAGTGAATCAGCCAATCAGAGACCATCCTTACGCCATGGAATATCTGTTATCTGTGGACCCGACAACAGGGAACAAGTTTATCATCAGGGTCGGCTCCACCACCAGCCTGAGATGCTTCCCTCACAGGATATAAGATCCGCTTACTCTTTTAGGCGGTCAAATTTTGGAAATAGGATTAACTGGCGGGAATCAGCGGCAGGAAATTGAATCCAATCCTTTAAGGAGGAGCGTGAAGGCCTAGCTGATGGCGGCGCCGGGCTACAAACGACACCTTAGACGTAAACAAACTGGATTAATCCTTCAAGGTGATGAAAATACGAAAGAACTTCAGACAACACGAATAAAATAAGATGGATCCAACCCTTTGAAGAGGTAATAGTGACGATAAACCACAGGCGACATGAATAACAACAGAGGATAAACAAACAGATTCCAAGCCTTTGAGGAGGTAATCGAGTTGCGAAAATATATGCGACATGAATGACACCAGAATGTAAACATGATGGCGGGGAGATAAAAGGATACAGGGAACATAGTCATAAACACAGGAATATGTGTACTACCTATACTGTACTGTAACCCCTCGATGTGACGCAAAACTATAGACGACATGAACGATATTTGCAGGTAAACAAGATGGTGAAAAGAGATTTGAAAATAACTGGAGTAGCCGACACATGCCAGCGAATGCAATATCTCTCTTCCCCCATCCACCAAATTTTATAAGACCTTCAGAATGTTGAAATATTGCATACTCCAGGGGCGGGGAGGGAGGGAGGGGAAGGTAGGGGTAAGGATGGGAAGGAATGAGGGAGAGAGAGGAAGGCAGGGGAGAGGGGGTAGAGAGGGAAGAGAGGGGTGAGGTCGTCATCCGCCACACTTCCTGCAGTAAGTCTGGGTTATTTCCCGTAGGTCGGGGGAGAATGCCACCAGTGCCATCCCCAGTGCCTCTTATCTGTCAATCTATCTATAATTTATATATTTATCTATCTAAATCATCGTTATTATTACTATTATTATTTGTTCATATTATTATTCATACTTTTTTTTAGAACCCCATTCACACTTCCCTCATAACTTTGACCAATTAATGATACGATTCCCTCCATACACCCGTACGAACGCCCCTCATACACCCCCAAGAACAGCCCTCATACAACAATACTCATACTTGGCAGTGCTGGGTGTCATATGAGAGAGGGGGAAGCACCTCACTCACTGCAACACGGCGGGGACCTGGTAATAATGGCTCCCGGGGATGACTGTGTCTGAATTTTTTTGTTTTCCTTTTACTAAATTTCGTGCACACGGAATAATGCGTTAGTGAGGTTGTTTAGCCTCTGTCTGTCTGTCTGTTTTCTGTCTGTCTGTGTGATGTAATAGTTGATGGGGAAGGATGGACTACTGATGGGGAGGTGATGGGTGAAGGGACGTACTGGTGATGGGGGGGGGGACATAGCATTGATGGGGAGGTAATGGGGAAAGGTTGCACTGGTGATGGGAGAAGGGACGTACTGGTGATGGGAGAAGGGGCGTACTGGTGATGGGGAGGTGATGGGCTGTATGACGCTACGAGGGTAAACAAAATAACTGCTCTGGGGTCTTGTTGTGGATGAATGACAGTGAATGAAGGGAAGGAATGAATGACAGTGAAGGGAAGGAATGAATGAAGGTGAATGAAGGGAGATGACCCGACACTACACTATCCTGTACCCACACTACATTTAACCTAACCTAACCTAGCATAACCTAACCTACACTACACTATCCTGAACCTACACTATACTACACTATCCTGAACCTACACTATACTACACTATCCTGAACCTACACTATACTTAACCTAACCTACACTACACTATCCTGAACCTACACTATACTACACTATCCTGAACCTACACTATACTACACTATCCTGAACCTACACTATACTTAACCTAACCTACACTACACTATTCTGAACCTTCACTATACTACACTATCCTGTACCTTCACTATACTACACTATACTGAACCTACACTATACTTCACCTAACCTACACTACACTATTCTGAACGTACGAGTCTCTTTAACGAGGTATTCTGAAAGTGCTTATTGTCGTTGCTAGGTCATTATTGGACTAACCTTTTGTGTACCAACCATGATGTTTTGTGGACATATTGTGACCCCCTACTGTGTGTGTGTGTGTGTGTGTGCGTGTGTGTGTGTGAGATAAATAGAGAGAGAGAGAGAGAGAGACCACCGCCTGATGTATGTGAACCAGGCAGTACTTTCTTCCCAACCTTTTCTTTCTCTCCATTCTTTCCTCCCTCCCTCTTTCCTCCCCCCTCCCTCTTTTCTCCCTCCATACCCCTCCTCTCTCCCTCTGTTCTCTTTATATTTTCTCTCCTACCATTCCTCCCTTTGTTTCCCTGTTAGCTATTCATATCTCCCTCTCTCCCTTTCCTTCATCCATTACTTCTTATTCTCTTTCTCTATTTGTTTCCTCCGGCCTTTCTACTTCCTTCCCTCCATCAAGCAATCCTTCTTACCTCCCTCCTTCTCTCCCCTCTTCCTGCCAATGCTTCTTTCATCTTCCTCTCCCTCGTTCTGTCAGTGCTCCTCTCTCTCTCCCTCCTTCCTTCCTCTCGTTCTGCCAGTGCTTCTCCCTCCTTCCTTCTCCCCCCTCTTCCTGCCAATACTCCTCCCCCTCTTCCCTGTTAGTGCCCTCCCCCTCCTTCCTTCCCCTCTTCCTGGCAGTGCTCCACATGGCCACCCACGGCGTAGTGTGAATAGTCGAGGACCCAGCTGCCTGCCTTGTTGTGTTGCCTCTCTCTCTCTCCCCTTCACTCTCCCTCCATCACCTCCCCTCCACCTCACCTCTGGGTTCCCTCCACCACTCACCTCTGGGTTCCCTCCACCACTCACCTCTCCACCACTCACCTCTTGGTTCCCTCCACCACTCACCTCTGGGTTCCCTCCACCACTCACCTCTGGGTTCCCTCCACCACTCACCCCTGGGTTCCCTCCACCACTCACCTCTTGGTTCCCTCCACCTCAAGGATGTAACAGTGTCGCCGGGACCACCATGGCGTCTTAATCAACCAGTGACTGTTGCAGGAGGCGCGTGCCCAACCCTCCTCCGGGTACAACCACACCTGTAATATATACACACAGGTAAGTCACACCTATAATATACAGAGACAGGTAAGTCACACCTGTAATATACACACAGAGGTAAGTCACACCTATAATATACACACACAGGTAAGTCACACCTGTAATATACACACACAGGTAAGTCACACCTGTAATATACACACACAAGTACGTCACACCTGTAATATACGCACACAGGTAAGTCACACCTGCAATATACACACACAGGTAAGTCACACCGATAATATAAACACAGAGGTAAGTCACACCTGTAATATACACACACAGGTAAGTCACACTTATAATATACAGAGACAGGTAAGTCACACCTGTAATATACACACACAGGTAAGTCACACCTGTAATATACACACACAGGTAAGTCACACCTGTAATATACACACACAGGTAAGTCACACCTGTAATATACACACACAGGTAAGTCACACCTATAATATACAGAGACAGGTAAGTCACACCTATAATATACACACACAGGTAAGTCACACCTAAGTATACACACAGGTAAGTCACACCGGTAATATATAATACACAGAGGTAAGTCACACCTGTAATATACACACATACAGGTAAGTTACACACAGGTGTAATATACACACACAGGTAAGTCACACCTATAATATACACACACAGGTAAGTCACCTAATATAACACACACAGGTAAGTCACACCTGTAATATACACCACACAGGTAAGTCACACCTATAATATACACACATATTGGTAAGTCACACCTGTAATATACACACACAGGTAAGTCACGCCTATAATATACACACACAGGTAAGTAATATATACACACAGGTAAGTCACACCTAAGTACACCTATACACACAGGTAAGTCACGACAGGTAAGTCACACCTGTAATATACACACACAGGTAAGTCACACCTGTAATATACACACAGAGGTAAGTCACACCTATAATATACACACACAGGTAAGTCACACCTGCAATATACACGCACAGGTAAGTTACACCGGTAATATAAACACAGAGGTAAGTCACACCTGTAATATACACATACAGGTAAGTCACACCTGTAATATACACACACAGGAAAGTCACACCTATAATATACACACACAGGTAAGTCACACCTATAATATACACACACAGGTAAGTCACACCTATAATATACACACACACAGGTAGATCACATCGATAATAAACACACAGGTAAGTCACACCGGTAATATAAACACAGAGGTAAGTCACACCTGTAATATACACATACAGGTAAGTCACACCTGTAATATACACACACAGGAAAGTCACACCTATAATATACACACACAGGTAAGTCACACCTATAATATACACACACAGGTAAGTCACACCTATAATATACACACACACAGGTAGATCACATCGATAATAAACATGGAAAAGACATATGTAATACGATATAAACTCTTTTATATAGATATTCTGGCCTGACTGCATCTGTCTCATCGGTAAAAACATAACATACATTCAAACACAAAAAGTTTAAGCGATTCTAACCCTAAATTTTAATAACTTCGTCCTAATTTCTTGAACTTTGATGGTTAAAAGTTTCATTGACATCAGCTCCCTGTAGTTGTTGATATTTCGTGGTGACAAGTTAGCAGAGTTTGGATACAGCAACAGCGGTCATAACACAATGTTTACCTTTTAACCTCTCGTGATGTTGACACTTAACGAACTGTAACCCAAGTGCAGCCTCTCTCTCTCTCTCTCTGATGTGTTCACTATACATACATACATACTGCACATACATACATACATGCACAGTAAAATAATATGCATCGCTTGCCTAGGCTATCAATGTTTATAAACTGGTGAATCTCTCCACACACACACACGCAGAGTGAGGGGAGGGGAGGTGATGGAAGAGAGGAGAAGCAAGAGGGGAGAGGTAAAGGGAAGGGAGAGAGCCCAGAACGTAAGGGGAGAGGGGATAAGTGAATGAGGGAAAAAGAGGGAGGAATAGGAAGGAATGGTAGGGGGGAGGACGGAGGGGAGGGGAGAGAAGAGAAGGAGGGGGACGTAGGTAGGAAGGAAGGGAGGGAGGGAGGGAAGGAAGGAGGGAGGGAGGGGAGGTAACAGTGGGTCTGCTCACGTACACCAACAAAGCTAATTTGTCTCATTCCATCTAACTGTGACGTCCCCCCCCCCTAACCTGGCCACATCCACACACCTCACCTGGGCGGCCACACACACCTCACCTGGCCACCACACCTGGGAGGAGTCATTAAGAGCATCAGGTGGCACATCCTGGACGGTGTAAAAAAACATCTACAAAAACAACAATAACGAGGAGACGCAAACACTGATGATGATCTTCTTCTTCTTCTTCTTCTTCTCTTCTCTTGTTGTTGCTGTTATTATTCTTCCTCTTCTTTACTCAAATTACCCATTATACCTTCTTCTTTTTCTTCCTCTTCGTGCAACTATTATTATTATTATTATTACTCCTTATATTTCTTCTTCTTCTTCTTCTTTCTTCTTCTTCTTCTTCTTCTTCTTCTTCTTCCTGTTATTGTTCTTCCTATTCTTTACTCTCATTACTCGTTATATTTTCGTCTTCTTCTTCTTATTGTTTTTTCCTCCATCTCTTCTCCCTCCTCCTACCGTGTCACTAGTGCTGGAGGTGATCAGGGTGGTGTGTGTGTGGAGGCTGCCAACAGGGAAGAAGGAAGTGGTGAAACAGTCGCTGAGAGAGAGAGAGAGAGAGAGAGAGAGAGAGAGAGGTGTCTAATAGAAAAGACCCAAAAGAAGAAACAAAGTGTGAAGACAGATAAGAAGATTAAAGAGAATGAAGAATAACATTGAGAAAAATAAAAGATGAAGTAAAAATACAAAACAAAACACACAAGAAGAAGAAGAAGAGAAGAGAAGAGAAGAGAATAGGAAGAAGAGAAAAAGAAAAAGAAGTAGAAGAGAAGAGAAGAGAAGAAGACTAAATGACCAGCATCAACAGTCATTACTCATAAGCCACCAGACAGTCACTGAGCTGAGAGACTGAAGGCCAACCACTCACTATAAGCCAGTCACTCCACGTAAACATTAGTGACGTAACACATGCTATATAAGGGGAGTACTGCAGGGCGCCTCACTATACCTATGCCTGTTATTACCACAACTACCTGTACTACCACTACTGCTGAGTACCTCACTATTACTCCGACCATAATTACCTCTCCTACCACTACTATCACTTCTACCACTACTACCACTACTACTGCAGGACACCTTTTTACCTCCATGAATAGTTGTTATACTACTATTGACATAACTACCACAACTACCACTATTACTACTAACACCACTACAGGTAAACTATTATTGGTGTACTAGAAGGCATCTCACTCCACTACTATTCCTTGTACCACTATTATCTTCATAACTATCGCATCTATCACCATTACTACCACTACTACCACCACCACTGCTGCCACAACCACAACAAAAGACGTGATGTAACCAGCCGTGACGTCAGCCCCCCAACCATATACGGACGTTCTGCCCCCATCATCATTTCCACCTCTACCACTATTTTCACCACCACCACTATCACTATCTTTTCCATCACCACAACCATTTCCACCTCTACCACTATTTTCACCACCACCTGCATCACTATCTTTTCCATCACCACAATCATTTCCACCTCTACCACTATTTTCACCACCACCACTATCACTATCTTTTCCATCACCACAACCATTTCCACCTCTACCACTATTTTCACCACCACCTGTATCACTATCTTTTCCATCACCACCACCATTTCCACCTCTACCACTATTTTCACCACCACCACTACCACTATCTTTCCCATCACCACCACCATTATCATCTACATCCCCTTTTCCACCACCACCATTTCATTGTTATCTACAACCACAACCACAACTACAAACAACAAAGACACTCACCATAACAACTACCAACATCAATGAAAATAACAACACCCACAACCACCACTAACAACAACAACAACACGACGATCTTCCACTACAACAACAATAACAACATCAATCACAGTAACAACATCTATAATCACCATCATCAATAACTTCAATAATAACCTGTAACATCTACCACCACCACCACCACTACCACAATCAACCAGCTGCTTCCCCCTTCACCCCCCTCCACTTACAGGTGTCAGGTGCAGGTTAGTGTTTTTTTTACCTGTTAAATAAATAAAGGTGCGAGTGGTTGTGTTGACGCGGGCTGGACCTTACCTGCGTACACCTACCTTAATGGATCAGCTGTCCAGGTGTGTCTCAGGTGTAGTGTGTTTACCATTCACAACTGATTCATTCATTGATAAACCAGCTGATTCATTCATAGTAAACCTGCTTCATTCATAGTTTAGGTGATTCATTCATGTATTAGCCTACCTAGTTCATTCATAGGCATCCTGTTTCATTCACTTATTGATAACTGGTTCATTCGTTAATACTCCATGTGATTCATTTAAGTGTACAGATGATTCATTCCAACGTCAGGAGATTCATTCATATAAAAATTGATCCAGTCATTCATACTCTAGGTTAGGTTAGGTTAGGTTAGGTTAGGTACCCCACCAAATTATTTCACCTGATGATTAAACAAACACCCTAACCTAACCCTCCCCCCCCCAGGTAATGTTAGAGTGAAATAAGCAGAAGGGGGGCTAATCTTCAGGTGATGTGTGAGTATGTTGGTCTCTCTCAGTGTCTCACCTTTTACTCCCAGTGCACCAGCAGGTCAGCTCAAGTTCCAAACACGGTCAAAATAAATTAGTTAGCAGAGTAAGTTCAGGTCGTGTTTCTGCTGGCTGGTGGTTGGCGTGGGGGGGCGTGTGGGGTAGGCGGAGGAAAGGGTGGGCGTGTGGGGTTGGGGGAAAGTGGAGGGCGTGTGAGGCGTTGGGTGGTACTCTTTGGGGAGGGATTGAGAGAGCGTGGGTGGTAATTTATGTGGAGAGAGAGAGAGAGAGAGAG